AACTCAGGTTGATTGAAGGAGGACTAAATGTAGGCGTGGCCGAACCAATATAGATTGTGTGTCTGGATCTTTCTCTCCTTCTATTTATCTTTGTTGTTTCATTAATCCTTGTTTATTGATTTCAAGAGGCAAGAACTAATCAAGATTTCAAAAAGATCTCAAAACGGATTAAAACCAATTCACCCCCCTTCCCTCTTAGTTTGAGAAATAAGGTCATTCTTTCTAACATAAACTATGGTAGCGACTCCAAACTCTAATTTTCAAAATTTTAAACTATTTTTTAAACAATTTTGTCGTTCCTATCGCGATTGCGATTGTGACAACGACGAGATTTATTTTTTAACAAAGTGGTATCAAAGCTTTATACTTTGAGTACCGAGAGAGAGAGGACAATATAATACCGTGAAGGAAAAAGTAAGTGTATGAATTTTCTGTGAGAGAGATGACAAAGTTAGTCCATGGAATGAGTGTGTCATAATTGTCAGAAAAGATTAATTACGACAATTGATATCTGTAGATGAAGGTTCTTCTAAGATTCCAAGATGTATGGGACATAGTAGAGGATGGGTACAATGAATTCGCGGAGGATGAACATCAGATAGTGACCCAGATTGTTGCATTAAAAAAGACACGGGTCAAAGACATCGACTTTGTACGTTTTGTATAATGTAGTGGATGAATTGAGGTTCGAGAAAATAGCTAATGAAAAATCAACAAAAGAAGCATGGGAAATTGTGGAATTGGCATATAAATGAGATATCCGTGTTAGGCAGGTCTGAGTACAAGCTCTCAAAAGAGAATTTGAACATATGAAGATGAATGAAAAGGAAGGAGTTGCAATAAAAACGGATATTACAGATGTCCAAATTCTGTCGATAATGCACAAAATTTTTCCGTAAATGGTAATTAGCGATGGATTACCGACGGCCAAACATCCATCGATAAAAGTAACGTCGGTAAATTTTACCAGCGGATTTTTTATTCCGCTGGTAATTATCAAAAGAAAAATTTGTCGGTAAGTTCATCTTCTTCCTCCTTTCTCCTTTCCCTCCTTCTTTCATTTTTCATTTTTCATTTTTCATTTTTCATTTTTCATTTTTCATGAGCTTTGCCACCAACAAATGACTCTCAACCTCTAAACAACCTCCGGTTCAACAAATCCAACCAATTTTCGTGAACCATCATGGGAAGGAAAATAAATCACAAGGAGTTCTCACATTTGAGAGAGAAAGAGAGACAGGGTAGAAAGACTCTGGTGGTGTTTCCAGTCGTCAGAGGAGTTCGCCGAAGTAGTTCACCGGAGGAGTTCCTCGGAGGAGTTCGTCGGAGGAGTTGAAATATTATAGTTGCTACGACGCCGAAAAAGTAAAAGGGCTCATCATGGAAGAGAAAATGTGAACACCGCAGAATGGAAAGAGGATCACGTTGGTGCTGTTGGTGGTCTCCCTGATATCCAGCGTGGTGAACTCCGTGGATGACGAAGGACAACGGCAAGGTAAAGGAATAGTGGTGATGAGCTGCGAAGATGAAGAAAGTGGATAATTGTGTTACTCAAGTTATGAGTATCTTATTATATACTCACTGGTATTGGTAAACAATGATTATATATTTTCTCTTATGTGGATATCTATTTTTTATATTAATTACATTTAGGTATTGTATTTTTTAATTACGTAGCAAATTTAACTGAAATTTAGAGTTATTATTGATTAGTATTATATTTTGATCCAAATTGTATTAATATATTGCGGAGAAGGATCTTTGTTGTTTGTGATTTAAATTTTAGCAATGGTAGGTATCTCTTATGCCTTCTTTCACCATGTGGTTGTCTTTTGTTTCATTCATTTTAATGTGATTTTCATAAAGCTAAATGATAGGAGAAATGCGATGCAATTTTCATAAGCTTTTACAGTATTTGTTTGTCCATGTTATGTTTTACTCCAACCTTTAATCTTGTGAATGTATTTTCTTTTAGATTGGGAGTATACTTAATCCATGCTCATTCTTGGTGTTGGACTCTTCCAATATGGAGTTTTTATTTGCTCCCATTCTCAGTTGCACTCTCATGTATCATTGTCTTCGGTTATTACTCTAAGTTGTTATTCTTATAGTTGTGGATCTTGTCTGCAGAGTATAATTGACTTGAAAGAAAGTGTTTTGTGAGTTGGTGGAGGAGTAACTTTTTTGCCAATTTTGCAAGGTTATTTTCCTAATAAAGTGTTAATTTTAAAATTCACTATTGTTTATCCTTATATGTTTGCACAATTATCTTTTCAATTCAATCCTTCACACAAATTATATATAAATATATATATTCATCATATCGGTTGTCATGTTTAGAGAAAGACATGCCATGCATAGGAGAAGTATGCTAAGGAAGCTTCTGACCTATTGAGTGATGATTGTAATTATAGACTAAGGCCGCTAAACCAGTTCTTGGTCAATATCACTGGGAGCCTAAGAAGTCTGGCCCTTTTGCTCAAACTCAAACACCAATAATGTATGATAATTGAATAAAAGTCCTTTGCTTTTGAGAGGATTGAACTTATGTGCAAAAGTTTGGATGAATGATGTTTTGTAGTGACTATGTTTAATTCATTAACATTCTTTAATACTTAAATATCATGTATTTTTTTTATATTTATCTTGTAATTGTTAATTAATGTACTTTATGTTAAATGATCAATGAAATTAATTTTAGATTAATTTTTGTGTATTTAACAATTTTATATATTTATTTATTTCTTATTATAAAAAATAAATTTTATTAAATTAAAAAATTATGAATATAGATAGGTAATTATAAATAAAAGAATTTCAAACCTCCACATAATAATAATCTATAATAGAAGAAATTAAAACTCTCCAAAAAAAACTTCTACAATATAAATTTGATACTAGGGGTCATTAAAATCCTTTACAAATCGATAATAGTAACAATTTTTTTGTAATGTCTAATTAAGTTTGAATTCGTTGTGAGTCAACTCAGATTTAAATCCATTTTTACATTTCTAACTAAAACTTAGATATTTCAACTCATAGTTACTCTCTAAGCTAACTCTAATTTAAAGTATAACTTAAACATTAATCATAACTCATGCTAATATTTATAAAACATAGACCAATACACCTTAAATATGCATAAACTAATGAGGTAAATATTAGGACTAGAGATAGTTAACTAAACTATAATTAACTATATTTTTAATAAATTAGAAAAACTAAACTACTTAATATAATTTTTAATTTATTGTTCAATTAAACTGAACTTATATCAATTAACTAATAGCTGAACCAAATTTTGTATTCAAAAGTTAAGCATATTGTCATCCATAAAAAACGGTATGAATCCTTAACCGTGGAATAAAAAAATTGAAAAAATGAGAGTGTTCCGGTCCATATTAAAATACTATGTCTAGTTAATCCTTATTTAGGTCTAAAATAATAAATATATACAATTTATTAAAAAGTAATGTTTATTTAAAACAATAACATAAAAACTTTAAAATAAAGTATAAAACAGAAGAGTTTACCGTTAGTTGACAAAAGTATATTAATTAATTAAATTATAATCAAAACATAATTATTATCTTAATTTAACTTTTATTTTAGTTATATTAATTGATACTTTTTATTTTAATATTAAAATAAAAAATAACTAAGGATCATACTTAAAAACATTAAAAATGTTAAATATTTAAAAATATTAATTTTTATACTAATCAATTTTTTTTAGCAAAGACTTTATTTATATTTTAGTTGAGTTAGATTAGTTGAGAATGAAATAAAATCATATTGGTTCAGTATCTTCAAAAAGCTACCTTAGATTGATTTGCGTAAACATAAATTTAAACAAATAAAAAATAAGTATTTAAAAATAAGATAAAATTGATACTATAACTAGGTTGGGTTTTCCAACCAGTTAACCATCGAACTTATGTTTTAAGACAAAATGAAAATGAAGGAAATCACTAAACAGAAGCAAACATCCAGTTTTCAGTTAATTACATTAGAAATATAATAAATATACTTTTTTTAAACTGAACTAGATAATAGTATAATTAATTTTTGGTTAAAATAGATTAATTTTTTTTAGTATAAAATAATACAGTTAATCATAATTTAGTATAGTTAAATTAATTTTCCCAGTCCTTACAAATATTAGTTGATATTGCAAATGACTTTTATTGTTTTCATGAATAACGAGATTATCATGCTCTGCCTTGACATCCACGTCATCATCACCTACAAGAATCAAGAGACTATCTATCATCAACATTGATTAAACATCTATTATTCAACATGTTTTCAATGACAATATATATAGTAAAATTAATTTATTCTTGTACATTAATTACTATATTAACTATAAAATCTTACATTTTTTAAACATAGAAGATAATAAGAAAAAGAAAGGAACATAAAAACAGGTCATTATTCGGTTAATGAAAAAATATAAAAAAATTGAATGCTCGATACACAATTTTTTTAATAATGATTCAATTAAAAATATTCAAAATTTATGATAAATTTGAACTTTATTAATTTTTTAGTATGCGAAAAAAATACATTAAAAAAATAAAATAAAATAGAGGAGGTTTTTCTATTCCTATTATTTCGCCTCTTTTCATAACTACTATATTTAAGTCATAAATTCTTGAAATTCGTATAAAAAACGTATGATTAATTGGTCTTATTTAATTTCTTATTTTTCTTTTAAGAACTCGTTAATCACGTTTAATGTTTTCTCTTTCTTTTATTTCATCTCTTTGAAGTTATTTTTAGCTTCCATTTATTAAACCCAAAGGTTATAAGAAAACACCCATGTCTTCTTTATTTATCAGCGAGACCCACAGTGTTTGACTCATCATCTTCATATCTGTGGCTTCCTCCTTTCAAATGTGCAACTGAAGTATTGAACTATGGAGTCTCCGAATCCATCCACAAGAACCATGTTTTCAATCATACCCTTCATCTCAATCTTTCTGCTGCACGTTGTAATGGCAGTTTCAGACACCATTCCCCAATGTCTCTCTCTTCATTCTGACCCCTCCCATCCAATCTCTGCAGTAACCTATTTCCCCAACAACTCCTCGTACCCTCCTATCTTGGAGGCCTACATCAGAAACCTCAGATTCAGTTCCCCCACAACTCCAAAACCATCCTTCATTGTGGCACCAAACCACGTTTCCCACATCCAAGCCTCCATCATCTGCTGCAAAAAGTTCGGTCTTGAGATGAGAATAAGAAGTGGGGGGCATGACTACGATGGCCTTTCGTACGTGGCGAAAGCCCCATTTTCCATTTTGGACATGTTCATGTTGAGATCAGTGAAGGTTAACGTGCAGGACCAGACTGTGTGGGTTGAGTCGGGGTCAACGATTGGTGAACTTTATTACGGGATTGCTGAGAAGAGCAAGATCCTTGGTTTCCCAGCTGGGGTGTGTCACAGTGTTGGTGTTGGAGGGCACTTCAGTGGAGGAGGGTATGGGAACATGATGAGAAGGTTTGGTATCTCTGTGGATCATATTTTGGATGCCCTAATTGTGGATGCTGAAGGGAGAGTCTTGGACAGGAAAGGAATGGGGGAGGATCTTTTCTGGGCCATTAGAGGAGGTGGGGGAGCAAGCTTTGGGGTCATTGTTTCATGGAAAATCAAGTTGGTTCCCGTGCCTGAGGTTGTAACGGTTTTCAGAATTGAGAAAACATTGGAACAAGGTGCCAGTGATATTGTTCATCAGTGGCAGTATGTTGCTAATAAGATACATGATGGTTTGTTTATTAGAGTGGTTCTTAGTCCTGTGACAAGAATGGGTAAGAAGACGATAAGGGCCAAGTTCAACGCTTTGTTTCTCGGAAATGCACAAGAGCTGGTTCATGTGATGAACGCGAGCTTCCCTCAACTGGGTTTAGTTGGTGAACAGTGCATTCAACTGAGTTGGATCAATTCCGTGTTGTTCTGGGATAATTTTCCAGTGGGGACTTCCGCTAAAGCTTTGCTTGAAAGGCATGGTACACCAGAGAAATTCCTGAAGAAGAAATCAGATTACGTGCAGAAACCCATTTCCAAAGCTGCTCTTGAAGGTATATGGAAGAAGATGATGGAATTAGAAAAGCCTGTTCTCACACTCAACCCTTATGGGGGGAAAATGAGTGAGATTTCTGAGAAGGAAACACCATTTCCACACAGGGGTGGTAACATATATAAAATTCAGTACTCAGTGATTTGGAAAGAGAAGAGTGAAGATGTTGCTAATCGATCTTTACATGCGATTCGGAGCCTGTATGATTACATGACCCCTTATATGTCAAGCTCACCTAGGAGTTCATATTTGAACTATAGAGATGTTGATATAGGTGTCAATGGACCTGGAAATGCTACTTATGCTCAGGCTAGTGTTTGGGGTAAGAAGTATTTCAAAACAAACTTTGATAGGCTGGTGAAGATAAAGAGCAAGGTAGATCCAAGCAATTTTTTCAGATATGAACAGAGCATTCCATCACTTGCATCTGCTCATAGTATAGTGTCAGTATAGAACAAACCTTCAAGGCTTAACGAGGTATAAATAAAGGTCAAATTGAGGACAAAATGTATCTTTGAGCAACTAGAAAACCAGTTTAGACTTATATTTTGTCATTAAACTTGCTCGTTTGGAAATTATTTGTTGTATGAAATAATATTTATCCTGTCCTGACAAAGAAAAGTAATAGAAGGTAAAAGAATGATGTTGTATTATTCTAATAATTACATAATACATATATAAAAAGAAGTTGATCTTAGGCTAACATTAAGGCATTGGAAGTAAATAAGGCAACAAATTATTGATAATATCAAAGGCAATTATGGTTGCACACGTTAAGGGATCTTGTCTTTAATTCTCTCCTTCAAACTTATGGGTGAAGGAGTCACACACCAAGTTTGTGTTTGAGTTGGTTGAATCGCGTGTGAGTTAATGCTTTTGTGAGACAGTCAGCCATTTGATCAACTGATGGAACATAGGTTACAATAATCTCATTTTTTAATACTTGATCTCTAATGTAGTGTACATCAATTTCAATGTGTTTGGATCAAGCATGCATAACCAGATTTGAGGCTAATGCCTTGGAACTCAAGTTGTCACACCATAGTGTTGGTTTTCTTGGTAGAGTTTGTCTTAGCTCATCAAGGAGTGAACGGTCCAGGCTATTTCAACAGCTAAGTCAGCAAGGGCTCTATATTGTGACTTTGTACTAGACCTTGAGACTACCTTTTACTTCCTTAAGGACCAAGAGATAAGTGTTTCATCAAGGAAGACACATTGAACTGCCATGGATTTTCTGTCATCCATATTTATGGCCCAATCTGCATTTGAGAAGCCTATTAAGTCTAAGTTAGTGGATGGTTTAATGTGTAAGCAGTGTTGGATGATACCTTGAAGATATTTCAATTTTCTTTTGATGCCTTGCTAGTGATCTATAGTGGGGGAACTCATGAATTGGTTGAGCTTGTTGACTGAGAAAGCTATATCAGGTGTTATGTTCTTTAAGTATTGCAATGCTTCTATAGCTTGTCTAAACAAGGTTGGGTCTTCTAACTTCTCCCCAGTTGTAAATTTCTTGTTGATCAAGACCTTACCCGAATCAAATTTAATATGCAATTAAGTGCAATATAATACTAGGAAGTGACTCCTAGATTATCTCTCAAGGACCAAATGTGATTCAGGAATTAGATCGAACACGTGGTGGGGATGGTTTTTGGACAGTTTTGAGTGAACTAAAATGAACGAAATCAAACACTATTTAAAAATGATTGGTCACTAGCTCAATTACAATGCTTCCAATCACAGATTAGCAACAAATACTCACTCCTTTAACCCCTAATCGAACACAAGTTAACCAACTAAGCGAAGACTAACCATGTTTTCATAAATACGAACGCAATGTTAATATTCAACCAATTTTTCACCATACAGTTTCGTCAATTAAGCAAAGATTACACACCAATTAGGCAACTAAGTGTATACCCAATCACAAGCACAAAATAAATTCAATATTAGTCAAGTCAGAGCAGCAAAAAAAACACACTACCAACTCATAAATCTCATGGAAATGATGCAATTTCGCTAATGACCCACCAAGCAACTCTAAGCTAACATTAAACCAAAATTACAACAGCAAACGAAAGTGAATTCATTCTGGAATAGCAGCAAATGAAATACAAACGAAGCACAATAGAAACGCAATTTTGAAATCGAAATTGGAAACTAAACGCAACTGCAAAACGCAAATTGAACTAGAAAACGTAAATGAACTTCAAAAACATAAATGGACAATAACGAAAGAGGAAAAAACGAAATTGGAAACGTAAATGGAAGCAACAGAAGAAATTGAAAATCAAATTGAAAACGGAATTCATTCAATACAAGAAAAAGTAGAACGAAAGCAAACCTAAAAGCCCCCACAAAGGGCTTTTTATAAAATATTGACCAAAAATAAGCCCAAAAGTCAAATATGGCCCAAAACTATCATATATAAAATTACAAAACGAAATTAAATGGTGTTGTAGTCCTAACCATAATTCCAAAATTGTTCTACAATAAATAATTAGAATAATTAGATTCAAATAATCCAAATTAATTAACAAAATGAATTACTGATCAAATTAAGCCAAATTAGTGAAAATGAGACAATAATGAAGAATTAAACACAATTCACTAATATAATTTGGTGCGAAAATCTAAGTGAATAGTACAAAATAATGATTTATCAAAATAAATCATACTTAGTCTTTTGCACTCTTGGAAAAAATCAAGACGCAGAACAAGGAACAATTCAAAAGACATTAAGAGAGTGACACAACCTTTAAGAAACTACAACAAAAACAAAAAGACACACAAGTAAACAAACAGATTTTCACAATCCTCAATGAAAGAGAAAAGGAGTAGACAACATCCAACACAGATAATCAGAGAAAGCAGATACTCATGGAAATCATCCAAGCAATTCAACACATGGCAAAATAATCAATCGACTCAAGAGGTGAATCAAAAGCAACAGAACTTCACATACGCACTATCAATGCTTCTCTCAAGTGTCTAAGATAAAAAATGTCAGCTCAATGCACTCAAGAAAGCAAACACAAACAGACTTGGCAAGCCTCTAATATCAACACTAAAAACATATGCATGTTCAAATAAAAAGGTCATTTTATGGTTGTAATGGGCCAAGGACAAAGGAGGATAACATATTGATGAGAAGCTACAAATCAAAAGAAATAGAGGAGTAATGGGGAACAAGTGAAAATACAATTAAATCACACCAAAAAACTCTAATTCAATCCTCTTCTTGACTCCATTATTCAAATTTTTATTTTTCTCAGTTTTCTCTATTTTTTTCTTTCTTTTCTCATCTTGTCTCTTTTCTTTTCTCTCTTTTTAGAACACAATTGTAAGAGACAAGATGCACACATATTTACAAAACAACTAAGAAGAGAAACCAACTAACCAATTCATCAAAATTCCCAAGAAGACCACACTTGTTCCCAAAACACTTCCAAAGCTCCAAAATTCCCTAAGGTTAAGGTGATCATGGTTTTTCACTTAAGGGTAATTAATGAGCTTGAAAACAAAGAACAGGGGAAAACATAGGCTCAAAGGGGTTATCAAAGGATCAAAATAGGGTAGGCTTATTTGGCTAGAGAGGCTCAAGAACAAAATTGCCTTTATCACTTCCAAAGATGCATATTAATCAAGAATCATCAAAAAGAATCACGCCAAGGCATATGTGCAAGCAATCAAGAGATATATCACACACAAGAAAGAACATAAAGTGGCTCAAATCTCACACAAGGTATTTGTCACAATCAAATCAATCTCTCAAAAATCACAATCACCTTTCCAAGCAAAGAAAAACCAATATTTCAAACCAATAGTATCAATCACGTGAAGGAAAAGTCTACAGCCTAAACAAAATCCAGGAATGAAGAGAAACATGCAAAATTGTACACATACACAAGCTTAAAACAGAACAAAAACAACCTAGAACTAGAAAAATATAAACCAAGAAAAACATAAAGAAAACAAAAAATGAAACAAGAAAAAGTGAAACAAAGAAAAAGTGAAACAAAGAAAAAATGAAACAAAGAAAAAGTGAAAATCTCTCCCAATATACCACACATAAACTACACAGTGTCTTCAATATGTTATAAGCATAAGATCAGAGCAATCAGTACAATCAAAGGATCATGGACAAGTGCAATAAAAGTAGGAAAGAGAGGAGAAGAGAGAAGAAAATCTCCCCGACAACGACACCAAAATTTGATCGAGCCCGTACTCGAATCAAATTTAATATGCAATTAATTGCAATATAATACCAGGAAGTGACTCCTAGGTTGTCTCTAGAGGACCAAATGTGGTTCAGGAATTAGATCGAACACGTGGTGGGGTGGTTTTTGGACAGTTTTGAGTGAACTAAAATGAACGAAATCAAACACTAATTAAAAATGATTGGTCACTAGCTTAATTACAATACTTCCAATCACAGATTAGCAACAAATACTCACTCCTCTAACCCTTAATCGAACACAAGTTAACCAACTAAGCAAAGACTAACCATGTTTTCATAATGCGAACTAAGCTAACACAATGCTAATATTCAACCAATTCTGCACCATACAGTTTCATCAACTAAGCGAATATTACACACCAATTAGGTAACTAAGAGTATACTCAATCACAAGCATAAAACATATTCAATATTAGCCAAGTCAGAGCAGCAAATAAAAACACACTTCCAACTCAGAAATTTAATGGAAACGATGCAATTTCGCTAATGACCCACCTAGCAACTCTAAGCTAACATTAAATCAAAATTATAACAGCAAAACGAAAGTGAATTCATTCTGGAATAGCAGCAAACGAAATAGAAACGAAGCATAATAGAAAATGTAATTCTGGAATCAAAATTGAAACTAAATGCAATTGCAAAACGCAAATTGGACTAGAAAACATAAATGAACTTCGAAAACATAAATGGACATAAATGAAGAGGGAAAAACGAAATTGGAAACGTAAACGGAAGTAGGAGACGAAATTGAAAATCAAATNGAAGGTTAACGTGCAGGACCAGACTGTGTGGGTTGAGTCGGGGTCAACGATTGGTGAACTTTATTACGGGATTGCTGAGAAGAGCAAGATCCTTGGTTTCCCAGCTGGGGTGTGTCACAGTGTTGGTGTTGGAGGGCACTTCAGTGGAGGAGGGTATGGGAACATGATGAGAAGGTTTGGTATCTCTGTGGATCATATTTTGGATGCCCTAATTGTGGATGCTGAAGGGAGAGTCTTGGACAGGAAAGGAATGGGGGAGGATCTTTTCTGGGCCATTAGAGGAGGTGGGGGAGCAAGCTTTGGGGTCATTGTTTCATGGAAAATCAAGTTGGTTCCCGTGCCTGAGGTTGTAACGGTTTTCAGAATTGAGAAAACATTGGAACAAGGTGCCAGTGATATTGTTCATCAGTGGCAGTATGTTGCTAATAAGATACATGATGGTTTGTTTATTAGAGTGGTTCTTAGTCCTGTGACAAGAATGGGTAAGAAGACGATAAGGGCCAAGTTCAACGCTTTGTTTCTCGGAAATGCACAAGAGCTGGTTCATGTGATGAACGCGAGCTTCCCTCAACTGGGTTTAGTTGGTGAACAGTGCATTCAACTGAGTTGGATCAATTCCGTGTTGTTCTGGGATAATTTTCCAGTGGGGACTTCCGCTAAAGCTTTGCTTGAAAGGCATGGTACACCAGAGAAATTCCTGAAGAAGAAATCAGATTACGTGCAGAAACCCATTTCCAAAGCTGCTCTTGAAGGTATATGGAAGAAGATGATGGAATTAGAAAAGCCTGTTCTCACACTCAACCCTTATGGGGGGAAAATGAGTGAGATTTCTGAGAAGGAAACACCATTTCCACACAGGGGTGGTAACATATATAAAATTCAGTACTCAGTGATTTGGAAAGAGAAGAGTGAAGATGTTGCTAATCGATCTTTACATGCGATTCGGAGCCTGTATGATTACATGACCCCTTATATGTCAAGCTCACCTAGGAGTTCATATTTGAACTATAGAGATGTTGATATAGGTGTCAATGGACCTGGAAATGCTACTTATGCTCAGGCTAGTGTTTGGGGTAAGAAGTATTTCAAAACAAACTTTGATAGGCTGGTGAAGATAAAGAGCAAGGTAGATCCAAGCAATTTTTTCAGATATGAACAGAGCATTCCATCACTTGCATCTGCTCATAGTATAGTGTCAGTATAGAACAAACCTTCAAGGCTTAACGAGGTATAAATAAAGGTCAAATTGAGGACAAAATGTATCTTTGAGCAACTAGAAAACCAGTTTAGACTTATATTTTGTCATTAAACTTGCTCGTTTGGAAATTATTTGTTGTATGAAATAATATTTATCCTGTCCTGACAAAGAAAAGTAATAGAAGGTAAAAGAATGATGTTGTATTATTCTAATAATTACATAATACATATATAAAAAGAAGTTGATCTTAGGCTAACATTAAGGCATTGGAAGTAAATAAGGCAACAAATTATTGATAATATCAAAGGCAATTATGGTTGCACACGTTAAGGGATCTTGTCTTTAATTCTCTCCTTCAAACTTATGGGTGAAGGAGTCACACACCAAGTTTGTGTTTGAGTTGGTTGAATCGCGTGTGAGTTAATGCTTTTGTGAGACAGTCAGCCATTTGATCAACTGATGGAACATAGGTTACAATAATCTCATTTTTTAATACTTGATCTCTAATGTAGTGTACATCAATTTCAATGTGTTTGGATCAAGCATGCATAACCAGATTTGAGGCTAATGCCTTGGAACTCAAGTTGTCACACCATAGTGTTGGTTTTCTTGGTAGAGTTTGTCTTAGCTCATCAAGGAGTGAACGGTCCAGGCTATTTCAACAGCTAAGTCAGCAAGGGCTCTATATTGTGACTTTGTACTAGACCTTGAGACTACCTTTTACTTCCTTAAGGACCAAGAGATAAGTGTTTCATCAAGGAAGACACATTGAACTGCCATGGATTTTCTGTCATCCATATTTATGGCCCAATCTGCATTTGAGAAGCCTATTAAGTCTAAGTTAGTGGATGGTTTAATGTGTAAGCAGTGTTGGATGATACCTTGAAGATATTTCAATTTTCTTTTGATGCCTTGCTAGTGATCTATAGTGGGGGAACTCATGAATTGGTTGAGCTTGTTGACTGAGAAAGCTATATCAGGTGTTATGTTCTTTAAGTATTGCAATGCTTCTATAGCTTGTCTAAACAAGGTTGGGTCTTCTAACTTCTCCCCAGTTGTAAATTTCTTGTTGATCAAGACCTTACCCGAATCAAATTTAATATGCAATTAAGTGCAATATAATACTAGGAAGTGACTCCTAGATTATCTCTCAAGGACCAAATGTGATTCAGGAATTAGATCGAACACGTGGTGGGGATGGTTTTTGGACAGTTTTGAGTGAACTAAAATGAACGAAATCAAACACTATTTAAAAATGATTGGTCACTAGCTCAATTACAATGCTTCCAATCACAGATTAGCAACAAATACTCACTCCTTTAACCCCTAATCGAACACAAGTTAACCAACTAAGCGAAGACTAACCATGTTTTCATAAATACGAACGCAATGTTAATATTCAACCAATTTTTCACCATACAGTTTCGTCAATTAAGCAAAGATTACACACCAATTAGGCAACTAAGTGTATACCCAATCACAAGCACAAAATAAATTCAATATTAGTCAAGTCAGAGCAGCAAAAAAAACACACTACCAACTCATAAATCTCATGGAAATGATGCAATTTCGCTAATGACCCACCAAGCAACTCTAAGCTAACATTAAACCAAAATTACAACAGCAAACGAAAGTGAATTCATTCTGGAATAGCAGCAAATGAAATACAAACGAAGCACAATAGAAACGCAATTTTGAAATCGAAATTGGAAACTAAACGCAACTGCAAAACGCAAATTGAACTAGAAAACGTAAATGAACTTCAAAAACATAAATGGACAATAACGAAAGAGGAAAAAACGAAATTGGAAACGTAAATGGAAGCAACAGAAGAAATTGAAAATCAAATTGAAAACGGAATTCATTCAATACAAGAAAAAGTAGAACGAAAGCAAACCTAAAAGCCCCCACAAAGGGCTTTTTATAAAATATTGACCAAAAATAAGCCCAAAAGTCAAATATGGCCCAAAACTATCATATATAAAATTACAAAACGAAATTAAATGGTGTTGTAGTCCTAACCATAATTCCAAAATTGTTCTACAATAAATAATTAGAATAATTAGATTCAAATAATCCAAATTAATTAACAAAATGAATTACTGATCAAATTAAGCCAAATTAGTGAAAATGAGACAATAATGAAGAATTAAACACAATTCACTAATATAATTTGGTGCGAAAATCTAAGTGAATAGTACAAAATAATGATTTATCAAAATAAATCATACTTAGTCTTTTGCACTCTTGGAAAAAATCAAGACGCAGAACAAGGAACAATTCAAAAGACATTAAGAGAGTGACACAACCTTTAAGAAACTACAACAAAAACAAAAAGACACACAAGTAAACAAACAGATTTGCACAATCCTCAATGAAAGAGAAAAGGAGTAGACAACATCCAACACAGATAATCAGAGAAAGCAGATACTCATGGAAATCATCCAAGCAATTCAACACATGGCAAAATAATCAATCGACTCAAGAGGTGAATCAAAAGCAACAGAACTTCACATACGCACTATCAATGCTTCTCTCAAGTGTCTAAGATAAAAAATGTCAGCTCAATGCACTCAAGAAAGCAAACACAAACAGACTTGGCAAGCCTCTAATATCAACACTAAAAACATATGCATGTTCAAATAAAAAGGTCATTTTATGGTTGTAATGGGCCAAGGACAAAGGAGGATAACATATTGATGAGAAGCTACAAATCAAAAGAAATAGAGGAGTAATGGGGAACAAGTGAAAATACAATTAAATCACACCAAAAAACTCTAATTCAATCCTCTTCTTGACTCCATTATTCAAATTTTTATTTTTCTCAGTTTTCTCTATTTTTTTCTTTCTTTTCTCATCTTGTCTCTTTTCTTTTCTCTCTTTTTAGAACACAATTGTAAGAGACAAGATGCACACATATTTACAAAACAACTAAGAAGAGAAACCAACTAACCAATTCATCAAAATTCCCAAGAAGACCACACTTGTTCCCAAAACACTTCCAAAGCTCCAAAATTCCCTAAGGTTAAGGTGATCAGGGTTTTTCACTTAAGGGTAATTAATGAGCTTGAAAACAAAGAACAGGGGAAAACATAGGCTCAAAGGGGTTATCAAAGGATCAAAATAGGGTAGGCTTATTTGGCTAGAGAGGCTCAAGAACAAAATTGCCTTTATCACTTCCAAAGATGCATATTAATCAAGAATCATCAAAAAGAATCACGCCAAGGCATATGTGCAAGCAATCAAGAGATATATCACACACAAGAAAGAACATAAAGTGGCTCAAATCTCACACAAGGTATTTGTCACAATCAAATCAATCTCTCAAAAATCACAATCACCTTTCCAAGCAAAGAAAAACCAATATTTCAAACCAATAGTATCAATCACGTGAAGGAAAAGTCTACAGCCTAAACAAAATCCAGGAATGAAGAGAAACATGCAAAATTGTACACATACACAAGCTTAAAACAGAACAAAAACAACCTAGAACTAGAAAAATATAAACCAAGAAAAACATAAAGAAAACAAAAAATGAAACAAGAAAAAGTGAAACAAAGAAAAAGTGAAACAAAGAAAAAATGAAACAAAGAAAAAGTGAAAATCTCTCCCAATATACCACACATAAACTACACAGTGTCTTCAATATGTTATAAGCATAAGATCAGAGCAATCAGTACAATCAAAGGATCATGGACAAGTGCAATAAAAGTAGGAAAGAGAGGAGAAGAGAGAAGAAAATCTCCCCGACAACGACACCAAAATTTGATCGAGCCCGTACTCGAATCAAATTTAATATGCAATTAAGTGCAATATAATACCAGGAAGTGACTCCTAGGTTGTCTCTAGAGGACCAAATGTGGTTCAGGAATTAGATCGAACACGTGGTGGGGTGGTTTTTGGACAGTTTTGAGTGAACTAAAATGAACGAAATCAAACACTAATTAAAATGATTGGTCACTAGCTTAATTACAATACTTCCAATCACAGATTAGCAACAAATACTCACTCCTCTAACCCTTAATCGAACACAAGTTAACCAACTAAGCAAAGACTAACCATGTTTTCATAATGCGAACTAAGCGAACACAATGCTAATATTCAACCAATTCTGCACCATACAGTTTCATCAACTAAGCGAAGATTACACACCAATTAGGAAACTAAGAGTATACGCAATCACAAGCATAAAACATATTCAATATTAGCCAAGTCAGAGCAGCAAATAAAAACACACTTCCAACTCAGAAATTTAATGGAAACGATGCAATTTCGCTAATGACCCACCTAGCAACTCTAAGCTAACATTAAATCAAAATTATAACAGCAAAACGAAAGTGAATTCATTCTGGAATAGCAGCAAACGAAATAGAAACGAAGCATAATAGAAAATGTAATTCTGGAATCAAAATTGAAACTAAATGCAATTGCAAAACGCAAATTGGACTAGAAAACATAAATGAACTTCGAAAACATAAATGGACATAAATGAAGAGGGAAAAACGAAATTGGAAACGTAAACGGAAGTAGGAGACGAAATTGAAAATCAAATTGAAAACAAAATTCATTCAATAGTAGAAAAAGGAGAACGAAAGCAAACTTAAAACCCCTACAAAGGGGGAGGTGAAAAGCGTAAAATGAAGGGATAGGAGCTTTCCCAAATATGATTTGGGGTTTTAAAAGGGAAAAAGACGAAAATGCCCTCTATATGGGCTTCTTAAAAAATATTGACCAAAAATAGACCCAAAAATCAAATCTGGCCCAAAACTAACATAAATAAAATTACAAAATGAAATTAAATGGTGTTGCAGTCCTAACCATAATTCCAAAATTGTCCTACAATTAATAATTAGAATAATTATATTCAAATAATCTAAATTAATTAAAAATATGAATTATTGATCAAATTAAGCCCAATTAGTGAAAATGAGACAATAACGGAGAATTAAACACAATTCACTAATATAATTTGGTGCGAAAAGCTAAGTGAATAGTTCAAAATAATG